CTCCATGAATTAGAAATATCATCAACAAAGACACTTACTTTTGGGGTTGAAGATTTTAGTTTTGTAGAATGAGAGCTTCCATAAATTAGAAAATAGCATCAACCAAAACACTTACTTTTGAGGCTTGGAGATTTGAGCTTTGTAGTTTTTTATAGGCTTAGAGAAGGAAGATTAAGAGTTCTAGTTGTTACAAATATTTTTTTTAATTTAATACTAAATTTAAATATAATAAATATAACTAATATTTTAATAACTAATAGTAAAATATGAAAAGTTTTAAATGTGTTAAAATTTAATTTGGTTTTTATATGAAAAGGAAAACAAAAAGGTGTATCTCTATCCCTTCTCCTTTATGATTTAATATATAAGGTAAAATAATTGTATATAATTAGGAAAATAGAAGGGCATTGCACATAAAAAAAAAAAATCAAAAGACTAAAAAAAATTGTAACCATACAAATATTTATTATGTAATGTATTACAATCTTATACATTTAAGCATTACAATATAATTATTTGTTTTCATAGATTTAATTTCACTGTCTTGATTATAAATACCAATGAGAATGGGGTGGGCTAATGTTGGGGGGTGTAAATATAAAATGCTACCCTATTTAATGCACAGGGTAGCATTATATATATATAGATTATTTGCTCAAATCTTATGTAAAAATTAAATTAAAACAACTAAATCTAGTTGGAAGGAATATTTGTTATAGTAGTGGTTTTTAGTTTTTATTTTAATTTTAATAAATTTAGTAACTTAAAACGAAAATTTCATTTACTTTTATATATTTTTGTAGCATATTATCATAATTATTAAAAAATGAAAATTATATTATTATTAAACAAGTTTATAATTTTTGTTGTTAGTGTTTTATCTTAAATAATTTTTTAGTTTTTTGGTTTTCAATGGTTACAAAATTTATAAAAATCAAAAACAATAAACGAAGCCTTGATTTTTTTTTAATTTAGGTTTTTAAATTAAATTTCTTGGACTTACTTTTTAATCAGACATAAATTAAATATATATTAATTATACAATTTACAATTAATTTATATAGAAAAGTTAAAAATTAAGGTTTTTTTTTTGTTATATAATAAAAAACAACTATTTTTTATTTATCTACATATCATGTAATTTAAATTTAGAATCTTTTATTTCTAGTGAAAGTAAATTATTTAGGTCGTTGGAAAAAAAGACAAAAATTAAGGTTAATTTTAACAATCATCTAATTAAAAACTTGCATGTGGTTTTGATAAATAAAAATAATGTTAACCTTTGTGATTTTCTATAATGATTAATTGCAAAAAAAATGTGCCAACGATCTAAAAATTTTAATAATAGTCTCCTTCTAATGGAAATAAAATGTCTTAAATTTAATTTACATAACATATGAGTATATAATATATATTAAAAAATGAAAAAGATAATCACTTTATATTAGGTAACTTAAAATAAAAAAAATTGTAAAAAATATAATTAATGTATCCTTAAATATATAAATTAAACAAACTCTTCTCCTTTTTTTCCTATATCAAACAACAAACTATATAAACTATTTTTATTTTATTCTTAAGAAAAACCTCAAGTTATATTTGAGGTACAAGCACACTTATCACTTATCATATCAGTCCATGCTTTTAGATCGCTTTCAATACGGAAGCAAATAGGTTAAATACTCTTTTTGGCCCCTCTACTATAGAAAAAAGTTTTTTTTGGTCTTTATACTGAAAATTCCCTTTTTTAGCTCTTAAAATTTAAAATCTGGTTCCTTTTTTGTTATTCCGTTAAATTTTGGTTGATGTGACAGGTTAATTAACGGAAAAACTTTTTTTTTTACTAAATTATGTGGAAAATTCACTTGTTAAAAATTGATGACATGGTTAAATGTTTTACTTTTAATTACTGATTTACCCTCATCTTCTTCTTTATCCTCTCTTTCCTCTGACCTTTTTTTTTTTTACTCTCTTTTTTTCTTTTACCTCTAAGCGAACCCAGGAGCCTGGGTTCATGAGGAACCCAGCTCGAGGGTTCGCGACAAACCTAGCTTTTAGGTTCGCAACAAAGGCCCATGGTAGAAAGAAAAGAGTGATATTTGGTTTTTTAGTCGACCCCAAATGGAACATTAACATAAAATTTGGCATCTAAACATCTAAAAATTGCAAGGCAAATTATTTTAAGGAATAACAGATCTGCCCATCTTTCTGCCAAAACTATGCTTCACAAAGGTAATTTTGAAGGAAAACTATAGAACACATAGTGACTAGATCACAAAAAGTTCAGCATATTATCACTAATCAAAGCATGATAGGAATCCTGTGAAGAAAAACAGCTTTAAAATTTGACCATACATTAGAGCAGCAACTCAATTTTTCGGATTCAAAAGTCTAGGAAGCAAGTTTGTTACCACAAATGGAATAAGCCAAGAAATGCCTGCTCCACTTTGTCGAGCAGCAATAGTAGTTGGTCCACCCAAAGAAGGGATCAAAAAAACCTTAATCAAACATTTTGAAATTCTTCAGATATCATCTTCCTTCTTTCAAAATTCTTGTTTTTTGTTCATAATCAATCCTTTACATGTGAGTTCAATCAAGATAAAATTCTCAGATTTTCAACCCTTTCTTTGTCTGCTAACCTATGTCATGTATGAACCAACTTATGAAATTCATAGTAACATAATCGCAACAACATGAACCTATCATCACAACTTAATATCTCTAATTCAAAACCAAACATGAAATTTTAGTTTCAGTTTCATTTAGCTTAGATACATTCAAAATAAAAAAAAATGAAAAAAAAAAGGATCGAAACCTAGAATTAGGTTCCGTGCAGAACCCAGATTTGGGTTCCAAGAGGGATGATGAAGAGGGATGATAAAAAGGATGATGAAGAGGATGGCAAAGAGAATGGTGAGGATGAGGAGAAAGAAGAAGATGAAGAAATTATAGTTAATTTCATTTAATTTATGAATTAAAAAATAAAATTTTTTAATTTGTACATGTCGCACAAAATGCTTATATGTACTTATAATTTTATTCACATAATTTCCACATAATTTATAATATTAATTATATAAAAAATAATTAAATGATTTTGGTAATTAACCTATAGATAAGCAAAAATTTAACGAAATGATCAAAAAGAGACTGAATTTTAAAATTTAAGGATTAAAAAAGAGATTTTTTTGGTATAAAGACTAAAAAAAAAAAATTTATAGTAGAAGGATCAAAAAAGATATTTAACCAAGTAAATACAAAAGCGGAAAAGCCAACTCACCTACAAGGAGGAGCGTCATTCGAATAGGAAAGGCAGCTGGCAACTTGGCACGGACATTAATAACAAGTTTGACAACTCGGCACGTACATTAAAAACAAACTACCATCTCCATGACCCCAAAAATGGACTCCCTCTCATTGGAAGACTTGGAGTGTTATCCAACCATAAAATAATTTAGAAATAATTTTTTATATTATTTTTAATATAATTTTAAATATTAATTAAATATTTTTCATTAATTTTTTTGTGTTTGAACGTCACATTTTTCATAATTAATTTAAAATTAAATCTTGTTAAATTTTATAAGAAAAAACTTTTTTAATATTTATTTTTTCATTCACAATATTTAAATTTAAGATTTTATTTAAAAAAAATCAAATTCTTTTCACTCATACTAATAAATTATTGATTAATTTTTAATTAAATAATTAATTTTTTATTTATTTAAAATTTATAATATTAAATATATTTATTTATTTAATAACATATAAAAATTAAAAACATAATTACCCCTATATTACAGTCTGTATCCAACCCCAACTCAAGTTACCCAACCCCCCAAAAGACACCTAAATTCCAGATTTCATTTTTAAAACCTTTTTGGTCATATCAAACCCTGCGGCTCCAAAATTCCACCCAAAATCAAAAATCAACCTCACAATCCTGCAAAAATCCATTTCTAGGAATCCTCAGATCCTCAAACCACACAATTTTGGATCCCTAGCCATGACACGTACCCCTGTCAGTCACCATACAAAACGCCAAACCCTCCTTCACCCCCAACAACATCCTTGACGTGTAAACCGACTCCCCCACTCAATTCTCTCAGCGCCTCCTTCTTCCTCAATCTTCCCCCCACCTAAATCCCATCCTCCCCATGAATGTCATCTTTCATCTTCAATTCTGAAGAAGAAGAATTCATGAACACTGAACAGACCCAAATGGCTGACAGGGTTAAAATCGAAGCCAGTGACCCAGTTCCGAAACTCGAAAATGATACGACCCATCATCAGTCCGATGAGACACGGAGCTCACCGTCGTCGTCGGAAGCCCAACAGTGTGATAAGAATGAGAACGACGATGGAAAAGGGTTGTTGTCTTCGAGTGGAGCAACGTCGTCGTTGGAAGGGGTTTCTAACTCTACAGCGCAGCTAGACGTTACAAAGGATATTGGGGTGGAATTGGAGGAGGATAATGGGCGAGAAAGGCTGAAGAGACACAGGGTGGAGGTGGCGGGTCGGATTTGGATCCCGGAGATATGGGGGCAGGAGGAGTTCTTGAAGGACTGGGCCGATTGTTCGGCGTTTGATGCGTCACTGGTGCCGAGCGGGATCAAGTCGGCGCGTGCAGCGTTAGTTCACGAAGGGAGACGAGCGAGTCCCGGCTGGTTTAGAATAGAAAACAGGTGTTGAATCTTGTCATTGTTTCATATAGTAACAATCCTTCGTTTTTATTTCGGGCGCATGGTTGTTGGTACTAATTACGATTTTTTTTTCTATCTTTATATATCTCGCAACATGACTCGAATTTAGCAGCTGAGAAAACTGGATTTTTTTTCATTTGTTTTGCTGCTAAATACAAATTTTGATAATTGAATCTGTTGGATTTGATGTTAATTCAATTGGTAAAGGCCAACTTATTTAGTCTAATAGTTACAACTCTTTTAAAAAGTATAACTCTTTTAAAAAGTATAGTAATATTTAAAAATTTAATATTTAAATCTTAATCATCCTATTTTTTTATCCCATTGTATTAGTTCAAAAAAAGAAAAGGAAAGAATCAATTGGCAAAGTATGAACGCTACGCCTAGAAATGTATTGGAGATTGTACAACTTTTTAGTTAGAAGAAATATGAATGGGTGCTTGGTATGCTGTTGGATAGAGGTGTTTATATTGGATTCAATATTTCAATCCAATTAATCCTAGTTAAATTGATACAATTCAATTAAAAATGACAGTAAATTGATATAAAATTAGGTTAATTAAAATTATAAAATTTTAAAATTGATATAATTAATTTGATTTGTAATTTTATTTTTTAAATCGCCTGAATGGTTCAATTATAAAATAAAACTCAATTACAAGTTAATTAAATAATATTATATATTTTTAGTAGTATTTTAAATTTTCTTTTTCTTGTTTCACAAAATAATAACTTCATTAACTTAATTAAAAATAAGAAAGCATCCCTATATTCTCTATTTTTTTTTCCTCTTAATCATGCACTTTTGCCTCAATTCTAAATTTATAATTCACTTGCAACTCTACCCTTATAAATAATTTGTGACTTTGTTTTTAAAACCCTAAATTTCTAATTTGTTCTTAAAATGATATTCTAATTTTCCTAATTAAACCTTAGAGAAGTATAATTCTAGAAGTCTTAAAATTTCATAATAGAATTAGTCTTGATACTTTGCTATTCTTAAATGGTTGATTGAGAAGTTTTAAATCTTAATTATAGATGCTTCTAATCAATCCTAATGATATTCATTTTAAATTGTATTCACTTTTCATAGGGTTTGAAAGATGGGATTGAGTTATTGGTGCATTAAGGAAAAACAATTGGTTTTAACCTTTAAAAATTACTTACATTGTGCTTAAAATTTAGAGTAATATTTTATTATCCTTATTGCTTCTGGTAATGTAACCAAAAAGAATTTTCAGATCTTTTCAATCTTCATAATTGTAAAATAGTATAAGAATTTGTTTATAATTTTTGGTTTTTTAAATTATGTTTCTATTGATTTAGATGTTAATATATTTTATAGTTATATTTTCTACTTGATGTCAAAATTTTTCACATTATCTTATATATTTAATAGTATTAAAAATTGTTTACACCTAATTTTGTAACAAATAGAATGATGCTACGTGTCATCCATGTTGATAGGTATTTTATTTGTTGAAAAATCATTTTATTGATGCAAATTTCTCTAAGATAAAGCACAATGGTTGTTTCCATGCCATCAATAAAGCCGTTCAATTGTTGCAAATTTTTAGGAGCATAGTTAGTGG